AATTTATTTAAGTTCATTACATAATTGTTTTTTTTTTTTTTTAAATGCTACCTCCCACCTATCCATTAAATATAGAGAGATGATTGTAGGAACAAATAAATGTTTTGTAATATGAGATTGCACCAAACTATAATACACCAATTATAGAATTAGGAGGACTCCTGAACAATAAAAGATTAAATCTCTATTTAAGGAATAATATTTTACAGTTTAAATTGTAAAACACCAAACTTTTATATAAAAGGATAATTAGGTAATTTTCTTAATAAGAGATAATTGGGTAATTGTTCCTAAAATTAAAAAGTACTAACATATTTAATTCATCAGCATCACCCTACAACGTCAAGGGAAAAATATATTTACAAATTTTTACAAGTTGTGTTCTTTAATTTTTTAATTTCAAAAGACATTTCCCTAAACGTAGACTCCAATTTTCTTTTACAAGTTTATATGGCAATCAAATTGTTTATGAAATTACAATTTCTCAAAAAATATATATTGTTAAAAACAGAATATTTATGAAAAAGGAAAATGGTATGCAAGACTTAGACGACTAAACCGGCGTGGACTGACTGGGGATGTTGTCCAAAGTCCAAACAAGGTCTTATTTAAAGACAAAATACCGTACAGTAAATCATGGCGTAATGGTTTTGCCTTAGTTGCGAAGACTGCAATAAACAAATGTCGTAGACGGGCCCAAAGGGTGCCAAGATGTACTCGAATTTCAGACACAGGGTTGGGAGAATGGAGACGTAAAGTTTCTGCAGAGTCTTATTTCTATGGAGAAAGTCAATATTACGTAAGTAATAATATTTTAAATTTATCTAAAAAAAATATTTTAATATCTTATTTATATAAGTAAAAGCATAAATAAAAAAATTTATCAAAAAAAAAAAAAAGGTTCCTGCAGATGGAAAATGATAGAGGTTGGTGTTGGCAAAATCTTATATTAAATCCCTAAATTTGTCTCATATTTTTAATTAAATTTATAAATTTTTATTAAAATAAGCAAATCTCTAAAACTTGTCCATCTAAATAATTTAATCTTTTTTTTTTTAACAAATGTATTGTAACATCCACTTATATCTTATTTGAGTTATTTCTATGAAAAAAGTTAATATTTATTACGTAAATAATAATACTTTAATATCTTATTTATATAAGTAAAAGCACAAACCAAAATGAACTCTGCTAGAAAGAAAAGAGTTAAGATTGTTAAGTTTATAAACTTATTAACTTATTACCTTCAATAAAAATTTAAAAATTTAATAAAACAATCTAAAGGAAGTTCAAGTGCTTAAATTAGAGTTTTGACTTTGTGGTTTGTGATCTAAGTATACTAGAGGACAAAATTTTATAGGTTGTTGAATAAAGGATCTAACTTTCAGATTAGAAGACTTTTTTCATCTAATTATTCAAATTTTTATTCTTAATCACAATTAATAAAAAATCGTAATGCATATCTATTTGATTTTAGATAATGTTAAAATTTACTATAATATAATACTAGCATTTAATGTATTTTTAAAATAGAAATCTAAGACAATAAATTAAACTATAATAGTAAGACAATTAAATTAGATAAAAAAGATAAAAAAGAGTAAACAATCATTAACACTCTTTTTTTTTATTTAATCATCCCACTTTACTAAATAAAGGTGGTCCAATTTTTCAATTTTAAAAATACCTCAAATACTAGTAATATTTCAGTTTTACCTTTATCTCAAAAATAAAAAAATAAAAAAATGTTAGGGTTTTTTCTAATTTTATAAAAATAAGTTAAATAAGTTTATTGATAAAGATGAATGGTTAAGATGGAATTACCACATCATACAAAGAGAAGTGTGGTTGTGAGTTGTGACCACTAATGGAATTATTAAGCCACTAAAATTATGTTAAAAAAATATTAATTCTATTTGATTTAATAGTTAAGAATAATTAATAACTAATAAGATAACAAATATTTTTTATTTAATAAATTGAAAATTTTTAGACATCATAACTATTTGTTTAAAAAAACCTACAAAAAAAAAAGTTAAATTAAATATCAATTTGATAACTTTGACAATTTCATTGATGGTCTTAAATACATCCTACAAAGGGAGAGTATCTATCATTAAAAACAATCCACGCAACAAAACATTAATAAAAAAAACAAGTAGTCCAAATACATACTCCCTTGGATTTTACAATAAGTCATTGTTTCATTTTCTTTGGACAAAACTTGGGACAGCTTATGTTTTTGTCTATATATATTATCTCAAAAATAGATAAAAAAATTTTTAGTGGTAGGAAATAATTAAAACAAAGGAATAACAGTGAGTTCAAAATATGAAAATAAATATTTTTTTGTCTTAAAATAAGAATAAAAAAACCATAATTAATTAAAAATTTAAAATTTAAAAACAAATATTATTATGGGATAGAAGGGACATCATTTCATATGTCCTACCTAAAATATAATAATAATAATAACTATCAACACCTCATTATATTGTAAGTATCAACCATCAATAAATGTTGTAAACCAATTAATTTGAATAAACAGAATACCCAGCACCACAAAAATACGAATCAGGAATTGATTATGGCCCCGCATTGACTTTTGTGTTTGAAGAATGTTACATAACTATGCAAAATTTTTCTCTGTTTACGGCTGAAAAAGAAATAAAAAAATACAAACATTTAATAAAATTGCAGTCAGATATGTATGAGGGGTATGGTATTAATAAATTTTTGGAAATATGTAACAGGCAACTCTCAATGTGCAACTGTCCCGTAATGCCACGTTACTTTTTACTATTAAAATAGTCAAATTAAGGTGGCAATGGTAGATAGCCCTAAGATAGGGACAGGATGTGATTGGTGCTTGTCCTGCTGCTAGGTTGAAGGCATATTCAATAGTGTTTTTTTTCTTTCTGTGAACATCAAGGCACATTCAATAGTTTAAACATTCAAATTTTAAATTTTAAATCAATAATTAAGACTACAAGCCAAACAAGTATTTTTTTTTTAAATTTAGGTTGAATTTAGAAAGTTCAAGTTCTCATTTTTTTTTTTTTTGAGGTTGATATTGCTATAATAGATAAGTATTGGTTAGGATCAAATATTTTTCAATTACGTAATGGATGAAGTTTATCTTGAATTTACGTTACACTCTATCCATTTTATAATTATGATTTGATATAAACATGTGTCTTAATTTTTTATTTTTATTCACTGTAATTAAATTATGATATTAATGTTTATCAATATCTATACAAAATTAGACAAAAAGAAACAATTGAAAAAAAATTTAAACTAATCTTATTTTTATTTTTAAAATATATTATTTTAAAAATCATTTTTGTGATTTAGTAGTTATTTCATTTTTATAAAGGAACTTGTCATCTCTTGACTTGGAATTATGAAGTTTAAATCCCACTCCAAACATTTAAAAAAAATATATAGTATTTTAATTTTTTAATAAAAATTTATTAAAATAACATATTTTTTAAGTATTTTTAACTAAATTTTTTTATAAATCTAAGTTAATAAATATTTTTCTCTTAAAATATTTACATCTACTTGATTTGAGAAGAGGAGAGCCATAAAAGATTAATTACAATCGATGATTTATATCATGTTTGGTTATTTAAAAAATAAATATGAATATATTAATTTGATTAGACAAAAAGTTTTCTTCTCTTCTCCTTCACTTAACCAAACACAATAGTTCTTGTATTGTCCCAAAAGAGATATTGGATGACAACTAGAAATGTTTATGCATGAAGTATACGTTAAGCTCAAGAAAGGGATAAAGGGAATCAAGATCAATCCATTGGAAAACATCATCCAATCTCATCGCTTTCTTTATATATATACACCTTTATGCACTTTCAAGGAATCTTTTGTCTCCTCTTTTAACTGCGATAACTCAAGAATTTCTCTTGTTTTTTTCTTCTTCTTTTTTTTTTTTTTTGACCCTAGGATGATTTAGGTCTTAGAATGAATCAAGTCATTTTGTGTTCGGCTTTTTTTAACCCAATATTTGTTTTTAGTTGGGTGATACTACCATTATATGAAAGATGTTTTTTTTTTTTTTTTTATCCAATCTGAACTGAAAAATAGCAACTTCATGGTAATTTCGTCCCTCCTAGTTTGATTTTGATGTTTCAAAAAAGGAGAAAGCTAAGGATAAATTATATATATAAAAAACAAAACCCATGGTTTTTGAGCCAAATCCGGTATAAGCATCATTCCAAAGGGTAATTTAGCAATTTGATTGATATTGTATCACTTCATATATCCCGATTGAAACTTTAGTTGTTGAGCAACATATGCATCATATTCCTTAGACGAGGCAAATAAAGGAGTCGAGTTTGGTTGGGGTGGGGATCATGGTAGGTTACTTGTTAAATGGGTTGAGTAAATAGGTTTGGGGATTAAGAAGGCTATCAATAATCTATTATTTCATGATTTTATAGGTTGACCCTACTTACATAAATCACAAATCAAATAAGTTAATTCAAACGATCAAAAAATAAACTAAATGACTTTCTTTCCCTTCTCTCTTGTTCCCTCATACATATTATAAACAAATAAATTAAATTGACCTCATCCTTATCTATACAAATTGCAAATCAAATGAATTAAGTCAAACAAATTTGTAAATTAAGAGTTTTCACCCATACCATGACCTTTTTTATTTTTTATTTTAGAGTTACCCATAACTTATTTTAGATAAACAAGTTAGGTTGAGTTGGCAGATTATGTCAACTTTTTACCCTTGTTAAGCTAAACCTCAAGAAAGATTCACCCGAGTCAGTGTTGGATCAAATGACTATATTGGGCTCAAGTCAAAAAGCCCATGAAAAAACTTTCTCATTATTTGTCGGGTCGCAACTCACAAATGCGAAATGGCCCTTCAATTCATTGGGCTCAAAAGTTTGAAGCCCATGAGAATCGTTACTTGGGCCTCCTTTTAACCTGCAAAATCTGCCCCTTAAAATTTAAGCTAAGGAGAAGTAAGAGAGGGGAACAAAACAGATACACAGCTAAAGCAAAAACCCTCGCCGGTGAACATTCGCCGGGAAGTATACAGATGCCGTCGTTTCCAAGTCCCGGTTCCGTTACCATCTGCGAAATCAACCGCGACCTCGGTACGTCTCTGTCAATGCCATTGCATTCTTTCCTAGAACTTTTAGGGTTTTGATTTTTAACAGTGCTGTGCCAAATTACTATTTGCAGTCACCGCCGATAACATTTCCGATGATCGAGCCAAAGATACATATGGAAAGATTCTGGTACCCATTTCTCTGTTTTTTTTTTTTTTGTTCATTTGCAATGTTTGTATTTCTGCAATTGAAGTTGTATGTCAAACTCTTGGGGGGTTTTAATTGTTGCAGGGAATGGTGTTCAGTCCACTTCCATTTCAACCCGATCAACCGGTGGATGAGTCGCAACAGCAGGAAAGAAGAAATTTAGATGACGTTCGGCCTAACAGAATTGTTTGTATCCTTCCCCCCATTGTGTTTTTACTTTAATTAGAGTTCTTGTGAGGAATATTTTTTGATAACTTACTTTTGTTTACCTTATTGCAGGAATTAATCACTGGCTTCGTCAAACGCATTTTTAAACCCAATGAAGTTAGTTATTGTTTAATTCTATTCTTGTTATAAATGTTTTTGATGTTCTTTGGCATGGATGATAAAATGAGAGTCAATTACTTGGTTTATTATTGTTATTATTATTATTATTATTTTGGACCTCTTGTTTATTTTGTGTGACTTAATTCCCATTTTACGGCCACATATCTTTCTGGCTAAGTAATGGGAAACCCTTCTCTTACATTACATGATTATTTCAGGGGTTAAAGATTTTGGGTTTTTTTTCCTGATTGTATGGTTAAATCTTGCATGGCAAATTTGTTACATTTTACTTCTTAAGTTCCAGTTATGAAGCATATGCAGTAGGACTACTATGGAAAAGAATTAAAGGAAGGGGTTTTGTTTTGTAAATTTGTTTGCTTACTTCATGAGTTTTATAGGTGAGCTTTTTGCCAGAGGTTTCTCTCCAAAGTGTTAGCTGGCACCAACATAAACACATTATTGCTTTTGTTTCTGGTCCTAATCAAGTTTTGGTCCGTGACTATGAGGATTCAGGTAATTGAAAAATATGTAATCCTCCATTAATGTTGTAATTACCATTTTCTGTAGTTGTTTCTTTGCTAATTCTTTTGGCCTTTCTTCTTCATAAACAAGAAAGTTAGATTAAAGTTTTCTTCTATCACATTTGGGCAGAAGTCAAGGATCCTTGCATTTTGACAAATGAGTCCCAGAGAGATGTTAAAGATCTTCAATGGAGGCCAAATGGTGGAAAGTCACTTGGTGTTGCATGCAAGTACGTATCCCATTGCCAAATTTTTCTCAATGTTTAATGCCTTCTTCTTTGATTACTTTTGTTTAACATTCCTAGTGTAACTTCTTACAAATGGTATGAACTTCAGGGGTGGAATATGCATCTGGGCTGCTTCTTATCCTGGCAACACAGCATTAGTTAGATCTGGTGCTGCTTCATTCTTAGGAACTCCCTATACGGGCTCTGGAACTCGATGGAGTTTAGTGGATTTTCTTCGGAGTTCAAATGATGAACAAATAAGTGCACTTTCATGGAGTCCTGATGGAAAATATCCTGGGTCCAGACTTTTTATTATGTGACATTCAATTTTGCTTTCTATTGGTTTTTTTGGTTAATATGGGTTCAATTTTCCACTATCATTGTGAATTTTCCATAACATGTATTCAAATATTTGGCATCAGCCTCGTATGAAAGTTCATCATTCACAGTTTGGGATGTTGCTCAAGGCACAGTTATGACATTGATTCCCTAATTGTGTTATTTTCAGTTAGTTTATCCTTTGAAATTGAAGAATGCCTGTAAACCGTATAAATTGGAGGAGAAAAAAGTTAGGTAGTGAGGCGCAATCTAGTTTAGGACTAAGCATTGTTGAGTGTACCTTATTAAGATTCTTTTCTTTGCAAGTCTTCGTTCCTTTTTCTGATTGCTGATTTTTTTTAACATTTCTAGGTTTGGGGACGCCTATTCGACGGGGATTTGGGGGAATATCATTGCTTAAATGGTCACCTACTGGAGATTACTTTTTTGCTGCAAAATTGTATGACCATAACTTACTTTTTTCTTGATTTCTATGTGCTTATTTTCAGAAAAGATGATTCCTTGTAAGAATTGGGCTGATATTGGTGCATCCTATTGCAGTGATGGAACATTTTATCTTTGGGAAACAAATACATGGACATCTGAACGATGGTCTTCAACTAGTGGCCTTGTTACGGTAAATGATATTGTCATTTGCATCATTCAAAAATAATGTTTTGATCCATGGTTTTTTTGTGGATGATATTTACATATGTGATGGCTACTGAATCATTACCATAATTAGTACATTAGTTCTGAAATGCATTCTGCCGTTCCAAGGGCAGAGGCACACATAGGCTTATAATGCTTCACTATCTATCTTAATCACTAGGTTTCAGTCATTCCTGATTTTGTTTATGTTACGGGATAAAGAGGTATAATGTATGATTGATGGACGTTAATTCATTTTTTTCATCTATCTTAATTTTTAGGGTGAAAAATGAATTTGTTCTATACTACCGAGCATGTAGATTGCAATGGAATTAGTTGTAGTCTTGTTTCACTTCTCTATCTTGTTATTTTATCATTAGGGAGCAACTTGGGATCCTGATGGGCAGGTGATACTGATTGCCTTTTCTGGGTCTTCAACATTGGGTTCTATTCACTTTGCATCAAAACCTCCGTCATTGGGTAAGCAGCTCTAGACTGAAGTTTGTAGTCCTTTTATTATTGGAATAACTTAACTGGCATCAAGTTTGATCTATTTTTATTTCTCGTAGTGCTTTATCTCATGATAAATAAAAAGGGTGAGTAATAAAAGTTGTGGTTAAAAGTTATAATCATTAGTTCATTATGTTCAGTACATGGAAATGAAATGAAGGTGAGATGGAATGGATGGTGGAATTAATTTCACTATAGAATGGAATGTAAAGTTTGTTTTCAGGATTCTTAGCTGTCTTTTTTCATTTTTGAAATGAATATTGGAAACCTTTTTTATTGTGAAATTTATTGTTTTAAATCATTGGTCAACACATCATAGGCGAGTAGGGTAATATGTTCTTTTTTCTTGGTGATTCGCCTCAGATGCCCATCTTTTCCCAGTTGATTTGTCAGAGATAACATCCTTGACAGGCAGGTAGGAAGAAATCACTTTTACTTTGTTCTACTTTCAACTTTTAAGATGCCTTAGCTTTTCCCCTACCTGCCCTCTATGGGTTTTGATCTTACTTTATCATGCAGGCAAGGTATTGAGAAGATAGCTTGGGATGCTTCAGGAGAGCGGCTGGCTGTATCATACAAAGGGGGAGATGATAATTACAAGGGTCTCATTGCAATATATGATACTAGAAGAACTCCTCTGATATCTGTGTCACTAATGTGAGTTCCACTCAGTTTTTACCTGTCTGTCTCTTTACTGGGTTGGTAATAGGCTAAGCAAGGCCCTGTTTCCCTTGGATGGCCCTTGAACACAATCTAGTAACCTATTCAAATGGCCTAGAACCTTTTTTGTTTTACTTTTCCCAATCCTTGTGCATTTTTCTTGTTATATGCGTTGACTGTTGGGTTCTTGCATATTCGTATCCATCAATGTAACTTCAATGAGAGTTATTGTGCAATATCTTTAGCTGTTAATTAATGTGACTTGCTGTCATGTGAATCTAGTGGTTTTATTAGAGGGCCTGGAGACCATCCAAAGCCAGTGGCATTCTCCTTCCATGACAAGTTCAAACAGGGACCACTGCTTTCAGTGGTAAGCATTCCTTTAACATTTCTGCTGCTTTGATTGTCAAGTCTGGTTTGGGTGAAGACATGTTAATGATTTTTATTCATTCAAACTAAAAAATTTGTATATTATGTAGTATTATTGTGTAATATAGCCTTGAAAGGTAGGGGAGGGATAAGATAAGATAAAGGGAGATAAATGGAGAAAGTGGAAGGGGAAAAGGAGGAAAAAGGATGAAACAGGAGGAATTGCAATATGGTGAATGTCCAATACATTTTCATGCATGTCATAACAGAAACAGGCTAGGTAAAACATTATTGCACATATTTGTGTGTACCATACTGCCATCATAAGAAAGACAACCATGCCAACCTAATTGAGATAATGCTTACATAATCCCTTTACATAGTTGCGTCAATAGGAAATGGACTGAGTTTGCAACAAAGTTGCTAGACATTGCTGCATATGGTTTTGGGATATAGAGCACTTAGATCCATTTGTTCTTTTGCAGTGCTGGAGCAGTGGTTTTTGCTGTACCTACCCTCTTATATTCCGTTCACAAGCCCTTTCCTAGTAAAAGGTTTGTGCCTTTTCATTCGAGTTAACTGGGTACTGGCTCATGGTTATTATATACTTACATTTGCATCGTTCTACATGTAAACTTTGACTAAACTAGGTAATCCAACTTTGCAAATCTTGTACCATGAATGATTCTTTCGGAAGCTGTGTTTGAAGCTATTCATCACAAGTTTCATCTATGTGCTACATTATTTTGATATTAGAGTCCCAAAGGAGAAATCACCATTTTATTAATATGCCAGTCTTTCATTGTTGCCACAAAGGAGTGTCCCTGTTTATGTAAGCTGCAGCACTGGAGAGGAGATGAAGTTTTGAGTTGAGGTTTGTCAGCTGCTCTTTCATGTCAATCATTTTGGAGATGGTTTCCTATTTAGTTTCTCTCTCTTTGTTGTGCAGGCTTTAAAGCAGCAAGTTATGACGGATGTTTTATAGAATGGAATCTGACCATATATTATTCGATGTAAAATGAAAAATTTGAGAAATCATGTTCTTTGTCCTTCGAGTTGCTTGGTAATGCTATACATTTTGATTGTTGGTATCTATGCTTGCAAATGTGTCTTATATTTTGTGTAAACTAGAAGTAAGCATCACGTAGTGACTTAATGATGAATCATGAATGCTCACTATATGGTAATTCACTAGGGAGCAGGGAGCAATGAGAAAAAGCTTGGTATAAATTGTGAAAATGAAATATATTGATGTGAAAATTGCATTTGAAGTTCCAGTCTCAAAAGATTTACTTTTGTTGCCATATATTGAGAATTTATGTTTTACTGCTAGCTACTATTTATTTGCAATTAGAGTTTTGAAGGTGAGATTTCAGTTATAAAAATGATATACTTACAATATTGATATGTCATTATATTAACTCTTTTTATTTAATAACTTACACGTAATATTATATATATTTATATGACATTTTAACATTATAAACTTATAGTTTTATGTAACATTATATCTATATCATTGTTAATTAGGGAAAAAAAAAAAGAAATTAATCCTCACTCTTCAAGAGGAGGGTAAAAGGAAAATTGTCTTCAGCTGGGCTCATGAGTCATGATTCTGGTTTTTAGATTAATATTTAAAGAAATTCCTTTTTTTTGGTATATGGTTTGATGCTGGAGGTTACTTTTAAAATTGTAGTATGTAAGCGCAATCAAGCTGGATGAAGAAAAAAAAATTGTAGTTTTTAAAGATGAAAAACATCTTATTTTTCGGCCAACGATGAAAAACAGAAAGGTTAAATGCTTAATTTGGTCCCTCAACTTTAAGAAATGAATATTTTTGATCCCTCAACAATTTTTTGCACTTTTTTGATTCCTCAACTATACGAAATGCACTCCGTTAGTCCTTCTGTTAATTTGGGCCGTTAACCCTACTTAGGTGGCATTTTTTATATTTTTTTTGATGATGTGGAGAGCAAAACTTAAAAAAGTGATGACATGGATAAAACTTTTGCCATGTCACATGCTACCTGGCGAAAACACACCAAATCCATCTAAGTGGATCTCACATCACCACTAACAATTGCTTCCTTGCCCATCGGTTATGAAATTCGACGGAACCAGCAAATTTAGGTTCGATGTAATCCAGCAAATAGGTTCCATGGAACCCAGCTCAATTCACTGAACTCAATTGTTCAAAAATCCCTCGCAACAACCTGCAATTTGAATAATCTCTTGGCAAAC